TAAGTAATTGCCAGATTTCAAAAAAGGTACAGTAAACCAACCATGGCTGAGTCCTAACTGCCAAACATATCTGTTCATCCCTTGTTCCTTACTACCAGGATCCTGGTTTTGTTTGGTTTTGCAACATGCTCAGTTATAAAATATTTTCTTCCTTTGTTCTTGCTGTAATTCGGAGTAGCTGCATGATTCTGTTCTGGCCAAGGAGATATAAGTAGAAATGTACTGTTGGAACTTGCAGGAAAGCTCCCTTGTCCTGAATAAAATAGGGATAGACTTAGCTGACACCCTTGTTGCCCTTTGCCCTTCCCTGCTTTTCTGCTTAGAATTTGGACACAATGGCTGGTGGTGCAGCAATCACTTTGTGGCCTTAAGGATGGAAGATAAAAGAAAGGTGGCTGGACTGGAAACCAGAAGGAGACTTCCTTGGGCAACTAACTCAATTCTGGACAGCCTGCTTCCAAATTGTAATGACAGAAAAGTAAAATCCTTAATTGGTTAAGCCATTATAGTCGAGGTTCTGTTACATGCACACCACTACAACCCTGACACAGTGATTAATACAATAAACGAAAAACATACACCATTCCTCTTTACTGACAACTACATTAATGTATCAATTACTTCAAAGGGAAAACCAAAAGAGATCATACCTTAACAGTAGTATTTGGTTTCATACCGCATCGGTAAGTCCTTGCTATCTGTGGAGTAAGCTGGATTTCCTTGGTAAGCTGCCTCCATTTTCTACATTCAGGTTTTGTACACTGCACCTAGATGGGAAATAATAAATCAAGATCAACAAGTTGGATAATCATCAGTTACCATTTGTATCCTCCACCACTTTGTCATGTTCTCCAACCTTTTAGCAATCCTATTTTTTTCTCCCCCTTGCATCACCGCCACCCATAAAATCCACTTTTACTCCATTAGGGTAATTTCTGATTCAATACTAGCTCAGTGCAAAGGGGATGTGAGTGCAGTTGTCAGAAAGATTTTCCCACCATAACCTAAAGAAACAATCACAGTTAAATTTAGTTTGTTAGTCAAAAAGTACGCACACTAAATGTAACGTGGTGTGCTGGGCTGGATCCTGGAATAGTAAAAGAACATTAGGGAAAAAACTGATGGAATCCAAATAAAGTCTATAATGTAGTACTGTGCCAATGTTAATTTCTTAATTTGACAAATAATCATGGTATGTAAGATGATAAGGGGATGTAAGATGATTAGGGGAAACTGGGTGAAGAATCTATGGAAACTTTCTGTACTATCATGGCAACTTTCTGTAAATTTAAAATTATCCCAAAATAAAAAGGTTATTTTTTAAAAAATGTACAGATATATTCACTTGCAAAAGAATGAAGTCAGACTCCCTATATAATTTTTGTATATGTGTGAAGACATATATACATATGTGTGAAGACACATATACAAAAAATTAACTCAAAATGGATCAAATACCTAAAAGTCAGCACTAAAATGCTAAAACTCTTAGAAGAAAACAAAGGGGTAAATCTTTATGACCTTGGATTTGGACATGGATTCTTAGCTACAACACCAAAAGCACAAGCAACAAAAGAAAAAAAATGGATAAATTCAACTTCATCAAAATTAAAAATTTTGTACATCAAAGGATACTACCAAAGTAAAAAGACAATCTATAGGAGAAAACATTTGCAAATCACAGATCTAATAAGGGTTTAGTATCCAAAATATATTTAAAAATTCTTACAACTCAACAACAGAAAGACAAACTCAACTTAAAAATGGGCAAAAGATGTAAACAGACGTTTCTCCAACGATGTACAAATGAACAACATTTCTACAACGATATACAAATGAATAACACAAAAGTGTTGTTGGATATTAGGGACATGCAAATTAAAACCAAGTAAGATACTACTTTAAACCCAATAGAATAGCTAGCATCAAAAAATAAAGAACAAGAGTTGGTGAGGATGTGGAGAAAACTTAGCCCTCATATGCTAGAGAAAAGAATGAAAAAAGGTGCAGCATCTATGGAGAGGAGTTTGGAGGCCTCTCAAATAGTTAAACACAGAATTACAACACGATCCAACAATTCCATTTCTAGGTATATAGCCAAAAGAATTGCAAACAGTTATTTCAAATACTTGTATATAAATGTTCACAGAAGCACTATTCACAATAACCAAAAGGCTGAAATGACCCAAATGTCCATCAATAGATGATTCGGCAAACAAAATGTGACATATCCACCCAATGGAATATTAATCACCCATAAAAAAGAATGAAATACTGACACATGCTATGATGTAGATGAACTACAAAAACATAATGCTAAGTAAAAACAGCCAGACATGAAAGGTCACATAATGCATGATTCCATTCATATGAAATATCCAAAATAGGTAAATCCATAAGGAAGATTAGTATTACTAGTACCAGGGACTGGAGAGAGGGAGAATTAGGGCTCCTTTGTAGGTAATGAAAATACTTTGGAATTAGACAGAGGTAGTGATTGTACAACACAGTAAATATACTAAGTGCCACTGAATTGTACACTTTAAAATGGTTAATTTGGCCAGGCTCAGTGGCTCACGCCTATAATCCCAGCACTCTGGGAGGCTGAGGCAGAAGGACTGCTTGAGGTCAGGAGTTCGAGACCAGCCTGAGCAAGAACAAAAGCAAGACCCCGTCTCTACTAAAAATAGAAAAAATTAGTCGG